CCGAAACGTCAGCTTTCCTTCTCCTCTGATGCTGCTTGGCCTGCTGTGTTCATCCAGCTCTACACCTTGTTATCTCAGATTCTCCAGCATCGGCAGTTCCTACTATATCAGTTCAAGAAGGAGCTCACTACCACCTACTCAACGGCATTTGGGGATAAGCAATAAATGCTGGACTAGCCCGTGATGCCTACATCCATTCAACAAATAAAAAAATCAAGCACCTGAGGTTGTGGCAATACAGTAGACGGGGGAGCAAGCTCTTGAAGATGTTATAGCTCAGGCAGTTGGAGAGATTGGTCTCTTCCATGCATTCCTCAGATACCTGCAGGAGATAGGCCAGAGCAGAGCAGTTTATGGGTGTCAGTCTCCCAGCCAGACTCCCTGTTCGTAGGGCATCTGCCACCCCTTTTGCAATCTCAGTATGCTGCAGCTCATTGAGGCAGTGCATTATGTTGACCGTTCGTGAGGAGATGATGTAGTTGGTGTTGAGGCAGCATTGCAAGTGGTGCATCACTGGTGCTCGGTAGCTGTTTTGCTCATCCTTTGTCAGGAGCAGGCCCTGCAGCAATCCATTCACTTCTGGTGAGAGCAGCCCAGAAAGAAATCGCACAAATATGTCCAAATGACCATCTTCTGACTGAAGGGACTTACTGATTGCATTCTTAAAATGGTTGTGGAAGCCTATCTTGGGCCAAGACATAGCACTGTCAGTGAAGAGGTCAAATATGGCCCTTTTGGCTGCTGTGTAATAATAAATGGCGGCTAGGTACTCCTGTATGGTTATGTGTGTAAAGTAGTAAACTGTACAGATATTGGAGTCATCCTTGCTGAAGATCCCAGTACACATGCTCCCTTGTAGTGAAGTGAGGTCGATGCCAAATGCCTTCATGTCCTGTTCATAGAAAACAAACTTCCGCTTGATTAACCCATAAAATGCCAGCTTACTTAGGTTAATAATTAGTTTCTTGTTATTACTGAATGTTTGCTCAATCTTCGGTGCCTCCTGTTCCTTTTCCTGCCAGTCCCCATTGAGAATCATTTTGAAAAAGTACGTATAGATTTCTGTCATCGTCCTTGGGAAATTTCCAGTCTTAAGACCATCATTACTGATTCTGAGGTAGTATGCAAGGGACAGCCCAATCATCAGACAAAAGGACGGGACAGAGCACATTATGTGGAGCGATTTATGGGCCTTTATACACAGAAAGACCTGCATTGCCATTGTTCTTTCTTCAAAGAGTGTTTCCAAGAAGTCCTTAATTTCCAATTCCCCAAAGCCCCTGAGTTCTGTCATTCTGTCCACAAGTCCAGTTGGAATTTGACTTGCTGCTGTTGGGCGTGAAGTGATCCATACAGTTGCCTGGGAAAAGATGGTACCCCGTATTATGTTGGTGATTAAGTTGTCGATCTGGATGTCTTTTTTTGGGTCAGTGCATATCTGGGAGTTTGAAAACTCCAGTGGATACTTGAACTCATCCAGACCATCAAAGATAAGCACCACCTTTGCTGTCCCATTCAGGATGTGGTTGGTTTCAGTGATGTGGGGAAAGGTCAACTTGAGCAGCTTTTCTGCAGATATTCTTTCAAAGGAGTTCAGTTCTCGAAACATGAAGGGGAATATGAAAGTTACATCTCTGTACAACTCTCCCTTCAGCCATTTGTACACCAATATTTTCACCAAAGTGCTTTTACCAATTCCAGCCACCCCAACTGTTACTGAAATACGTGGCGGGATGTTAACCTTTGAAAGGGGAAGGAACAGCCTTTCCAACGGGGTATGTCTTGGGCTGTTCTTCATCCCTCTGGTGGCCTCAGTTTGCATCACATCATGTTCTTTCTGTTGGATGTCCGTCAGCCCATCAATGAGCAGGAGATTGGTCAGTCTTTCCAGGGAGGACTTCTCACACATTGCACTGATGTCATTCCCACTCCCAAACTTGTTCTGCAAAACCTCGATATGTTTCTGTACCATTGGCTCTTTGAACAAAAACAGAAGAGAATGAAATGAGGACCTGATTGCTAACTAAGACAAGTTACCAGCCCACATAAGGCATGTTGACATCAGTTACTAATTCTTGTTGGTGACCTTACCAAATGAACAAATTAAAATACTAAGACCTGGCACTTTAATCTATTTGAGGGTAAACACATTGACATAACACTCAGAATGACAGTAGGTGGGAGAGTTAGGGAAGAGATGAGGAGAAACTGGTGGTTAGGAAGGAGAGGAAGAGAAAAGTGAAAGAAGGAAGATGAAGAGATAGGAAGGAAAATGGGGCAGTGAGGAGGAAATGCCATCCAAAATACCTCAAATTTTGCTCTTGCTGTGTTCTTTGCAGTTATGCTAATTTTCCTCTATGCTTGATGATACCGCTAAGACTGAAAAGTGGATGCATTTTGTAGTTCAGCATCAGGAACAGTATAAAATGCCAGCAGATAAATGAAATTCAATTACTCCAACAATGAAATACCCAACTGCTGAAAGTACATGGATAAAAGTTCCCCATTGTACATTGAAAGAACTTCATTTCAAGTCAGCCAGCATCAAGTTCAAAATCAGGTCAGTGGTTGCTCCTCTGATTTCCTATAGAACAGGTTCCTTGTGTCACTGCAGGAAGCTGATTGCCATATCTGAGAAAATGCTGTCTGCATTGATTTACCTGACTCTAATGTTCAGTCAAGACACCCACATAGCTTCTTATCCACATGTACTGTAGAAATGGCTAGTTTTGCAAAAAAAAACAATCTTCAGCAATAAAAAAAACTGAACATTATTAAATGATATTGCAGAACTCCTGATTGCATGAATAGTGCTTCCATTAGTGTTCAGAAAGATACAAAGATGGGTCTGCTGGAGTACTTCCTTCATAATTCCACCACTTCTTTCCTTGTTACCTCTGTCTCCTCCCCCTTTTCGCTTTCCTCCACTACTCAACTCCCTGTTGTCCAGGAGTTTTTATGTCCCCTTTTGCTGACTTTCACCAGAGCTGTGGTGAGATACTGATCTGAAAAAAGGTTGTCCTAGGCCCTAATGACGTTACATGAGCCAGTGGGAGCCTAAGATCGGCTCTTGTAGCCCCATCATCCAAAGAGACCAGAGGATAACAGAACAGAGAACATAGGGGCAATTCAGATCAAATAAAACATCTTACCATAAATGGTAATGGAAAGATACAGCTGCGAGTTAGTGGTTTCTATAAAGGTCTGCAGCGATTCAGAGGCTGTGTTCCCTTTACCAGCTAGAACATCAATGACTGCCTTTACTTTGTCTGATAGGGTACTCAGTTCCTGAATCTGATTCACTTCTTCAGCACTGATCAAATCCTGCCTCTTCATGTAACGGATTATAGTCTCCAGAAAGGGCCCGCTGATGGATTTTACCAGTTGCTTCCGATATCTGTTGATCCAAATACCTACAATGCACACAAGACATGATGGAAATGAAAACCTAAACTCTGAGTGCAACCACCTTAAATAAAGTGTCAAGTGGGTGACCAACACTGACATCTTCCTGTGGTCCCAACTATTATAGATACCAGTTTCCAGACAATTTTATTCCATTCTATCGAAGTGATATCAAGAAACAACTGAAGGAATTATATACAGTACAGTATAAGGTACGTTCTCTGTCAACATCCCAGCTGTAGTACTGAAGACTTGCTTGAGAACTAGCTGTACCCTTGTCAACCCTGGCATTTACTCAAAATTGTGGAAAATTGCCCAGGTTATGTCTGGTCCACGCAAAACAGGGCAAGTAAAATCCAGCCAATTGCCATTCCATGATTCTCAGTCTCAAAATAATGGAAGTTATCATTGACAATGCTGCCCAAGCAGCATGCATACAGAAATAGGCTATTCAACAATGTCCAATTTGTGTTCTGCCTGTGCCACTTTCCTTCTGAAATCATTACTGCCTCAGTGCAAACATGAACAAGAGAAATGAATTACAGAGATGCTAGTGATTGCACCTAACACCAAGTTAATATTTGACTGAGTGCAGCATCAAGATGACCTATCATAATTGAAGTCAACAGAACTTAGGGAAAAACTTCATTGGTTGGGTCATATCTAGCACAAAGAGAGTTGCCTGTGTAAGGATCAACCACCTTCAACTTCCTCATTAATGACAATTAATGATCGTACTAATGTTCAATTCCATTTTGAGCTATTCAGGTAAAGTGGAATCGTACCTGCAATGACAGAAAGAAATGGAAAACATTAGGGTTGGATTGAAAGCTTCACGTAACATTGTCAAGGAATGATCTTCTCCAGCAGAAGACAATCTAACCATCAGCCTCTGACATTCAATATCATCATCATCACTGAATCCACTCCCATGATACAAAGCATAACTAAATACTGTATCACACATTGGTCTGGTTTGGAAATATATTGCCATGCAATGACACTGGTTCAGAAAACTGGAACTCCCGTCCTACCAGCACTGTAGGTGTTTCACCACCAGTGCACAGTGGCAGTAGTGTGTACTATATATAAAATGCACTGCAGCAATTCACCAAGCCTCCTTTTGACAGCACCAATTTGTGTCCTGTAAGACTTAATAGGCAGCATGCGCATGTTCGCCTCCAAATCATCCTGACTTGGACCTCAGTTGTCATTCCCTCATTGTCATTGAGTCAGAAACCTGGAATTCCCTCTCTAATAGTACTCTATGTGGTGTACCAATATTACATGGACTTCAGTGGTTCAAGAAGGTGGCTCAACATCTTGTCAAGAACAATTCGGGATGAACAATACACTCACATCCCAGAGACAAATTTTACAAAACCCTCCTTGCCCTTGATCTGTAATCCTTCTGGTGGTCACTGCTGTAAGCTTGATATGAGCTCTCCTGAAACTCCCTCTTCAGGACCCTAATACTCTGGCCATAATTGGATCAATCATTATGCCATTATGTGTCTGATAATTCAGTTCCATGGCACCCAGTGCTTTTAAAGTCAGGGGATATGTATAATGGGGTTTGATTTGAAAAAGTGTCTCCTCCAACCTCAATGCAAACTTTTATTATTCAGACATGATCAAATTCATTGATGTGTCTCCTCAGGAAGGATGTCTTGAAATGTTATGTTGATGATATGGATCAATATTGCTCATTACCTGTCCAAATATCACATCCCAGATCTCACAGACCAGACCTACCTTCCATTATCTCACACAGCAGCTACAGTTTTGAAGGGTGCAAGGGGCTTTTTCCAAAGCCCTGAGACATCATTTGTCAATCTTTGGGCTGCCAGTTCCAATCAGGACAATGATGATCCTTCACCTCTGCTCGTTCTCTGACACCAGCTCTAAAACATAACATCTGCGACTGGTTTGAAATTGCAATCTGTACAACACCATCCACAGCTGCTCCTCACGTCACCCTTTCTCCATCCTGCTGAAAGAAAAATTAGTATTTCATTCAACGTTCAGAACTATGGCACACATACATTTTGTATAATTCACTCAATTTTCTTCTAGGTTAGGTCTACTGTTTTACACTTTTAAAAGTCTACACTTTTACTGTTTTGTTTTCAAGAAAGAGTTCAATATAGTTTATACGGTTAAAGGGCTCAAAGGGTACATGGAGAGAGCAGAAACAGGGTACTGAATTGGATGATCATACTGAATGGAGAAGCAGGCTCAAAGGGCTGAATGGCCGAGTCCTACTCCTATTTTCTATGTTTGTATATTACTTCCCTCCCTCAAGCAAAATTACAGTCACACAGCTGGTAAGATCAGCAAGGCAACAAATTGAGGATCTGGAACAAATGTATAAGAAAAAATAACCTCAGTCCTGTGACGATCTGGGGAACCAGTTCAGTCTAGAACTGTCCAGTACGTATATGGCTGGCAGAACCAGAGAAAAGTTTCAGCACAGACACAGTCTAGTCAGTATCTGCACCAGCTGAATAGACCAGTCACCTGTTATAAACCCACTGACCAGCCATCTGGTTTATAGCCTTGCCAGTTTTAACACTTCAGTTATCAATCCATAAAATCACAGAATCCCTGTGGTGCAGAAAGAAGCCATTTGGTCAATGAAGTCTGCACCTACCCTTTGAAGAGTATTCCACCCAGACCCACCACCTGTAACCCCACATTTACTATGGCTAATCCTCTCAACCCGCACATCTTTGGACTCTGGGAGGAAACTGGGGAATCTGTTGGAAACCCACACAGACATGGGGAAAATGTGCAAACTCCACACAGACAGTTATTCAAGGCTGGAATCAAACTCAGATCCCCGGCACTGTGGGGCAGCAGTGCTGACCACCCAGGTTCCTCTTGAATGAGTTTAGAATTTGTACCGTCAAACTTGGCAGTGAATTCCAAATAACCACCACCTTCTGGGTAAAAAATGTTTTCCTCATGTCCCCTCTAAACATTCTACCAATCACCTTAAATTTGTATCCCCTGGTAATTAACCTCTCACTAAGGAAACGAGTCTTCATTGGCCCTCATTATTTTGTACACCTCAACTGTCACCCCTCAGCCTCCTCTGTTCTAAGGGAAACAACCCTAGCCTATCCAATCTTTCCTCATACTCACAATATTCAAGGCTTGGCAAGACTTTTGTAAATCTTTTCTATATGTTGTCAAGAGCAATTATGTCCTTCCTAGAACGTGGTAAGCAGAAATGTAAATAAAATTCCAGCTGTGGCCTAACAAGTGTATTGTATAGTTTCAGCATTACATCCCTGCTTTAGTATTCAATATCTTTCCCAATGAAGGAATGCATCCCATATGCCTCCTTTACCACCTTATTTATCTGTCCTACCAACTTCATGGACTTGCAGACATGCATTTCTCTACCCTTCTCAACATCTTCCTGTTTATTTTGTATTCTCTTACTTTACTTGCTCTCCCAAAATGCATAACCTTGCACTTCTCTGGATTGAATATCTTCTGGTGGGTAACAGCCATCCTCTTCACTATAAGTTATCTGACCGATATCTGTGTTGTCTGTATGTTTCCCAATTATGCCTCCTACATTTAAGTCAAATCATTAATATTAATAAACAGCAGGGGACTCAAAACTGAGCCCTATTGAACACCACTGGAAATAGTTTTTCATACACTAAAATATCCATTGACCTTTTGTTTCCTGTCACTGAACTAATTTTGGATCCAATTCGCCACATTCCCCTATATCCTGTGGTTTTGATATTTCTTAACAGTCTGCAATGTGGAACCTTGTCAAATGCCTTACTAAAATCCCTGTAACAAAATCCACTCTGCTATCCTCTTCAATCCTCATTTCCTCAAATATTAAAGGAAGGCATTAAGACACAATGTTCCAATAACAAGGCCATGCCAACACAAAACTATGCTGATTACGCTTTGTGATCTTTGGCACAAAATCCTGGATCCTCCTTAATAGCACCTTGGAACTCCTTCACGAACCAGACTTCAGTGGTTCAAGAAGGTGGCTCACCAAACCTTTTCAAAGACAATTAAGACAATAAATGCTTGGAGTTCTGGAATTTCCTCCCTAAATCTTCCCAACCCCTTTCTCCTCAATTAAGACGCTCTTTAAAACTAATCTCTTTTACTACATTTTTGGTCAACACTCCAAATACATGGTTCATTGTCAAATATTGTTTGATAACGTCCTTGTGAAGCATTATGGGGGATTAAAGGCACTTTATAAAAATGTCTTTATTGTGTGTTACAAGTAAAACATTGCCTTTAGTATTTTTTGACCTGTATGCTCAAAGTGTCCAAGTGCTAATCCTTTTTATTATTACTTGGCTGAGAGATAATACTGAGACAACAGTAGAGGTGGAACTTCCTATTATTTCCTTGAGATTCTCTAAATCACATTTATGACTGTGATAAGAAGAATGCGCTGGTAATTAAGCACCATTACTCCACTGGTTACACCATTAATATAAATGTGTTGATTCAATTATCAAAATGGCCAATTGATTCCCTATTGCATGACTATCCAGAATGTGGGGGCGCTGGTATTGGACTGGGATGGACAAAATCAGAAGTCATATGACACTAGGTTATAGTCCAACAGGTTTATTTGAAATCACAAGCTTTCATAGCACTGCTCCTTCACCTGTCCACTCCGAAAGCTTGTGATTTCAAATACACCTTTCGGACTATAACCTGTTGTTGTGATTTCAGATTTTGACCATCCAGAATGACAGAGGCTTTCATCAGGTTTCTTTAATTAACTAAAAATAATGCATTTATATAGTACAAAACTTATTCTTAAAACAAGTGGCAAACACTGATTAATATCTAAACTATAATCTAGAATTAGAACTCTATCCCCTTATTTCCAACACACATTTACTCACACAACACGAAAGAGTACAGACTCTACAAAGATGATGGTTAAGTACAAAGGCAAAAGGAAAAATACTCCTATTGGCTAAAAGTCTGAAAACAAAGAACAGACTTTGATGACATCTCACAGTCACAGATTTCTTATCTATGAAATGAAATTGCTGACAGCCATAGACTGATGGAAGATATTGAGCTCAGATTGAAATCACGTTGGATCAGAGACTTTGGCATTTGATCACAGTTCAGCTTTTTAGCGTTTATAAGGGAGACATAAATATTGATATTTTGGAAACTTCATAAGAGAGACTTACACTTAGAGTCATAGAGTCATACAGCATGGTCCAAATTGTCATACATCATAGAGTCATAGAGCCGTATAGCATAGAAATAGACCCTTTGGTCCAACTCGTCCGTGCCAACCAAATATCCTAAATAAATCGAGTCCTGTTTGCCAGTATTTGGCCCATATCCCTCTAAACTCCTATTCATATACCCATTCAGATGCCTTTTAAATGTTGTAACTATACCAGCCTTCACCACTTCCTCTGGCAGCTCATTCCATACATGCACCACCCTCTGCATAAAAGAGTTGCCCCTTAGGTCCCTTTTAAATTTTTCCCCTCACACCTTAAACATATGCCTGCTAGTTTCAGACTCTCCCACCCTGGGGAAAAGACCTTGGTTATTCATCCTATCCATGCCCCTAATTATTTTATAGACCTCAATATGGTCACCTCTCAGCTTCTGATGCTCCAGAGAAAATAGGCTCCAGCCTATTCAGCCTCTCTTTATAGATAAAACCCTCCAATCCTGGCAACATCCTTGTAAATCTTTTCTGAACCCTTTCAAGTTTCACAACATCCTTCCTACAGCAGGGACACCAGAACTGAACACAGTATTCTAAAAGTGGCCTAACTATTGTCCTGTACAACTGCAACATGACCTCCCAACTCCTATACTCAATGCAGTAACCAATAAAGGCAAGCATACCAAACACCTTCTTCACTATCCTATCTACCTGGGATTCCAATTTCAAGGAATTATGAATCAGCACTCCAAGGTGTATGTGTTCAACAACACTCCCCAGGACCTTACCATTAAGTGTATGAGTCCTGTCTGATTTGCCTTTCCAAAATTAAGCACCTTACATTTATCCAAATTAAATTCTATCTGCCACTCTTTGGTCCATTGGCCCATCTGATCAAGGTCCTGTTGTACTCTGATGTATCTTTCTTCGATGTGCACTAGACTGCCAATTTTGGTGTCACCTGCAAACTTACTAACCATACCTCCTATGTTCACATCCAAGTCATTTATATAAATGACGAAAAGCAGTAGACCCACCACTGGTCACAGGCCTCCAGTGTGAAAAGCAACCATCCACCACTACCCTCTGTCTTCTACCTTCAAGCCAGTTCTGTATCCAAATGGCTAGTTCTTCCTGTATTCCATGTGATCCAACCTTGCTAACAGTCCATGCCGACCGTAATCCCAAACTAAACTAGTCCCACATGCCTGCACTTGGCCCATATCCCTCCAAACACTTTTTATTCATGCCTTTATCCAAATGTCTTTTAAGTGTTGTAACTGTACCCACATCCACCATTCCCTCAGGAAATTCATTCCACACACAAACCACTCTGTGTAAAATAAAATGCCCTCAATGTCTTTTTTAAATCTTTCTCCTCTTGCCTTAAAATTATGCCCCCTAGTCTTGAAATGCCCCACCCTAGGGAAAAGACACCTGCCATTCACCTTATCTATACCCCTCGTGATTTTATAAATGTCTATATGGATACCCCTCAACCAGTCAAAAAAGTCCCAATGTATCCAGCCTCTCCTTATAATGCAAACTCTCCATCTCGGCAACATCCTGGTAAATTTCCTCTGAACCTTCTCCAGCTTAATAATATCCCTCCTATAACCAGTTGACCAGAACTGGACACAGCGCTCCAGAAGAAGTCTCACCAACGTCCTGCACAACCTCAGCATGCGGTCCCAACTCCTGTACTTAATGGTCTGAGCAATGAAGGCAAGTGTGCTAAATGCCTTGTTAATCAACCTGTCTAGATGTGATGCTTACTTCAAAGAATT